TAATGCAGGATTATCAAGATATTTATACGAGTATAGATGATTTTTCTTTGGACAAGTCTGAATTAGAGAATTACCTGGACGAACCAATACTTAAGCCTCATAATTGAAAAGATTTAGATGTATTGAATTGGTGGAGGAACAACCAACATCGATTTCCAATTCTTTCAAGAATGGCTGCTGATATTCTTAGTGTTCCAATCACTACTGTGGCTAGTGAATCAGCTTTTAGTATTGGTTCACGTGTTTTGACAAAATATCGGAGTTCTCTTCTTCCAGATAATGTTGAGGCTATCATTTGTACTCGTAATTGGTTGCATGGTTTTGAGTTGAAGGGTAACTTATTATTATTTACTTACTTAGAATATTTTTCCATTCTTTAAATACTTTGAAATTATGATTTTGAATTATTATGTATTGCAGATAATGAGGATGAAGAAGGAAGATATGAAAAGCTTAACATATTTGCCATCCATGAGGATCCACAAGGAGAAGGATCAAATCATATTGATATTGATGATGAAAATCATCAAGATTTAGCTGATGATGCTACCAATGTGTAAATGATATCAAAGTTAATTTTGAGATTTTTTTATTAAACTTAAAAATTTTATTGTGTGAATTGATTTTATTTTATTTTTTTTAGATTTAATGTGATGTGTAATAACTTTATTAGGATTTTAAATATATTTTTTAAAATTTTTAAATTAAAAAATAAAAATAATTAGGGCTAGGGCCCTGAGGGCCGGCCCTTAAGCCCTGAGGGCCAGGGCCGGGTTGCTAAAAATAGAGCCCTGATATATAATCGGGCTTAAAAGGGCTAGCCCGTTTAGGCCCTGGCCCTTGAAGGGCCGGCCCTAATTAACACCTCTAAAATGAATTACAGGTCAACCTGCAGCTTAGCCCGTGCAGGTTGGCAATTTTGCGAGTTAGCTCACAGGCTCAACCCGTTTGCCTGGCTCTACCCATGTCTAGCTAATCCATCAGCAACAACATTATAGTCTCTATACAAACAGTTTATAATTACATGCCAATTCCATCTAAGCATATTTGTAGGATATTGAATGATACTATCTTCGGTCCTAATTATAATAAGATAAAGAGAAAAGAATTTTTTAACCTTATTTATAAGTCACATTATTAAATTTTCATCACAAACTTTTATTTTTATCCTTCATTAAATATTAAAAAAATATGTTATTAAAGTATGTATATTTAATGAGAATAAAGTTGATAACTTATTAAATTTTTAAATAAAATTAATAAAATTTAAGATTTTATTTATTACTAGTATATTATATCGAAAGTAATTTATAAAATAAATCAGATAAGTATCCTTGAAAGGGTTATATCTGTTTTGAAATAGTGTAAGGCAATTGATGGCCTCTATGCCGTCACAGTAAACCCCAATGTCTCTCAATTTGTTAAACCAACACAATTCTGAGCCTCTTGGGATGGCTATAACTTCGACAATAATAGAGCAATAATAGGAGGTAGATCCTAATTCAACATTGAAACTGGAAACCCAATCATCGTTAGAATTCCTTGAGACACCCCTACATGAAGCTTTTCCATTATTGAGAGAGGAACCATCCGTTTCTAATTAAAATTTGTCAGGATTTACTGCTTGTTTGGATAGGAGAATTAATTGGTTTTTTTTTTTGGGGGGGGGGGGGGAATCATGGTTGGAATGAAACAACAAAAATTTTGTACTAATCGATTATTGAGGCCTTAATCAATTATTGAAATAAGCTATAGGTAGCAGCTTCTTCAGGGATTCAATTCCAGACCTCAATCGAATAGGTTTTTGATTTTCCCCATGACTTATACAACTTGATAGAGCAAACGTGTGAAAGAAAAGATCCATTTAAATATATTATTATATATTAATATATTTGAATTTAAATATCTTAATATATCCAAAAAATAATATTATTATGGTAATTTATACAGTTAAAATTGAGTCTTACTAAATCATTCAAACGTCTTCAATTTTGTTAAAATTAATTTTAAAAAAATAATATTCAAACAGATTATGTTTTAACATAATCAATTATAATCAAAATCAATTATATTAATCAATTATTTTTATAATCAATTGTACCTAATTGAAATTCAAACATGCTCTTAGTTGAGCTCCACCCTGATTGTTTAAAATAGGGTATCTCTAATGCATGCTGCTTTTCAAGTATCTGTTATCACTTGAAGTTCTCATAATGCATTTAGAGGTCCTAATATCAGGTATCATATCCTCCATGTCAAAAAGATGCTCGCACCATAGGGTCCATGGCTCCCAACAAACACAACCAAAAATGTTCAACCATGGAACCTTATTGCAGCAAAATTTCACAGGAGAAGTTTTAAAATTCCATCTCAACCAACCAATACTCAGAAAGCTCAAAGCAAAGCACTTCCTGAATGAGATAAAAATGGATTTGGTAGATGTGAGAGTGGAGAGGATTTGAGTTTTGGGCATTTATTCTTTTATTTTAAAAATATTGTTAATTCACTGAAAAAATAATTATCATTTAAATAATAATAATTAGTTATCTTAATTTTTAGTATTAATGGATATTGAACTATTCGTATAATTTTTGTTTGATATGTCGAATTTTATATTGCATATTTGTATCACACATCAAATTTTATGTTATTTAAAATTTTTGTTATATAATTGTTAATCATTTCTAATATATATTACATTTGTATAATAAAAATTAAAAAATAAATATCAATATTCTTGTTTTGACAACAATACATTCAAAAGAACTAACTTTTAATTATATGAATGAAATCTAAATAACTTTTAATTTACTAAATTAATTTTTTAAAAAAAACTGAATACAAATTTTATTGCAATAACTAGCTTTTACTAAATTGATTAATAAAAAATCAGTCGGTCCCTAAATTCACAAGATGCACAAACTTGAATTTGAGAGCAACGAGCGAAAATTTTTAAAGCAAACTTATGTGTGTGGGTGTTATTTTATATATATAATTTAATAATATTAATCAGGCAAAAAATTTCATTATTTAATATAATAAAATAAATTTTTTTTTGCAAATATAGTTCATGTTATAGAATCAAATTAAATAAGCAGCTTAATATTTATTATATTTTATATTGTGACCTATTTGTTATATTTATCAATAATATATCATTGTATATTAATAATAAATTTTCTGTATATTAATGTGAATTGGCTATATTTTTAAATTTTTAAAAATTTAGTTTATATTTTTTGGGTATAATTTTTTTTTTTGCAAGTGAGCCAATTTATCCTAAAATAAAATTATGTTGTTACCTCGCATCCTACAGTATATTTCACAACTTTCATTTTGGTATTTTGATGTTTAACAAACGTCATCTCAGTTTTAATCTGAAGATATAAGAGGGGGCAAATTTTACGTGCTTTACTGGTAATTTTAGTTAAAACTTTGCAAGTTAAGCATTTCTAGATGAGAAAGTAACATAGTTGATTTAAGTAAAAACGTAAAATACAGAAAATTGAGTGCGGGGATCAGGCCTCTATCAGCTGTAAGTCGTTTAGTTTGCCGAAACTTGAACAAAATCAGAATCCAAAACAAAATATCATGATAAGGAGCAAATTAAAGGGGAGAAAATACATGGTACATATATTCTGCTTAAACTCTCGCTCCACATGCAATTGAAACTCCGATTTTTTTTTTTTTTCTCGCCTTTGTATATTAAGCTAATTTGCAATAGAACACTTCTGCTGAGTTTTTTTCAAAATATACAGCAAAAACATAATTTTTAATCTTTATACTTTACCCATATTTTACTATAAGTCCCTATATTTTTTTTCCGTGTTCTAAGTTTCTACACTTTTATTTTTTTTATATTTTAAATTCTTACACTTTGTTCATTTAAGAACTTAAAATACCAAAAAATGAAAGCATATAAACTTAGAATACACAAAAAAAAATGCAAGGACTTATAATAAAACACGAACAAAATACAGAGATCAAAACTATGCTTTTTCAAATATTTATTTTAATTTTTTTCATTTATTATTTTAAAGACAAGAAAACCGAACAGTGTTAGATTGTTTCTGATCCTATTTTTCATTTTGGAGGAAAAAAGAAAAGAAAAAAAGTATATTCATTAATGGCAAGAGTCATAATTTTGGTGACAAGGGCAAGGTGAAGCGTAAGATGAAAATGTTTCTCTAAAATTGTTTTTGAATTGGTAATACTAATCATGTTTCTTCATTTATTATAAAAATAATTATGAAAGCTAAATTACAGGATAACATTTAAAAATAAAAAATGATAACAAAATCAAACATGCTAACATTATATTTTTTTTTAATTTATTGACTTTCTAGAAAATAATTGACCAACGTACTCTAAATAGGGATCGATAATAATCCCTCAATTTAAAATATAAGCATTTCTCTCAGCTCATTTTAGTTCAAAATAAAAACAATTTAGTACATGAAATTTTTCTATTTTAGTCATTGTACGATTTATTAACATAGATATTTATATAAAGTTATCATTTACTTATTATGAAGTGCATTAGTAGTTGGGACAAAAGGTTAAAAAAAAAGAGATAACAATATGTATTTTTATGAGAATGAGAACTATTATTAATAAGTAAATTTAAAAAAAAAAACTGTTTATATTTCAGATTAGATGGAATATATACACACACATATATATATATATATTATAACTTACGAAAAAACCTCAGCAGTCAAATATCTCTCCCTGGCAGCCATGTCATTTTCATTTTTTATTCATGATGAAGTTAAGAGTAAAGTAGGGCGAAGAATCGGCTTCTAAATTTTTCTAAAATAAGCTGAGTGGATGAGGTCTTGATCAGATATGCATATATTTTTCATCTACTCACGTATTGTATTCATGAGACGCTGTCATTTATCCAACGTGATTTGCAAAAGTCCCAAAACCCAATGCTGCGATTAATGTCGTCTCTCGTTGTTTTGGAACTTGAAATCATTTTCAGTGTTCAAAGTCAATGAACCTTAAGGATACTGTATTTCTTTGCCTGCAAAGACTGACCCTCTGTGTGTGTGTTATTATCATAGTAGTGTTAGCATTGATTCCTTCTTCCTTTATGGGGGATCGAAAAGAAGAAAGATGCAGATTCAAAAGCCGCCTCAGAGAAAAGACACTACTCGATCTTCTGGATTGCCAGCAATCCGTTACCACTAGCCAGCTAGCTTGGAAAACAAAACAACTGGAAGAGGAATCCCATGGTTTCATTTCCATCTCTATTTTTTTTATGAAAATACATACGAGCTAGGGATGCTGCCACTTTTCATAAAACATTCTCCAATAGAGGACCATCTAGTTGCTAAAACATGGTACTCAGCGTCGCTTCATGAGTATGCCACAGATCGCAACTCGAAAGGAAGACAACTCAATCAATTTGCAGCACTATGAATTTCGGACACGATGGCTCCATCTCTGGGATCAGGTCGTAGTAATCTCATCTTGCCGAGGGCCTGAAACCCATCAGATATCCCAACGATCACAATTCACAATCTTCTGCAGGCATAAATTTCCTCAGAATCTACCCTTCGCCCTTGTTCAGAGAGAAGTACACTAGCAGTTATATGCTTCATCAAAACTTCAGACAAATATATAACACAAACTTCTCCAGATCCATATTTGGATCTGGATCTGCATTTACACATCGTGATCTATAGAAATAGCAAAGAATACAGATCATTTTACCCGTGGCCGAAGGGACGTGAATGTTAACTCACGAGTTCGAATCGCTAGTCACAGGCAGAAAACAAACAACGTAACCGCATATACAATATAAATTGCAGTAAGCAGAAATAAATGAGAGGAAGAGTGAGAACTTAAGAACCTGAAGGGGGCAATCAGCTGGAAGCAAGTGAATTATCCGAATGAAGAGGGCCGTACGTGTCTGGAGTTTCCGGCCTCGGCCAACAATTTAAAGAAAGAAAAGAAAAGCATCCACGGTTTATTTTTATATATGAGTTCGTAGCGGAGCTGGAGAGAGAAAAGTGATGTATAGAAGAAGCCAAGATGGCATTCACCTGCAGATGCACCTGCACCTCGCGCTCTGGTCTCTCCCAAAGTCCTACCTTTGGTCACGCAAGGGAAAGGTCAGAATTGCAGATGGAAAGAGAACCAGAAGTGATGAAGTGCAGGTGCAAATGCAGACAAAGGCAGCATGTCGGCAGAGGAATCCAGTGCTTACGGGAGGCGGACAAAGGCAGTATCGGCAGGCAAGCATGGTTGCTGATAGGAAGAACCTTGGGAGCTGAGATCCAAGAGAGGAGGGGGCTGTGTTTGAGAAGGCAGGAGCAATAGATATAAGAGTTATTTATAGGGTAGGTGCACGAGTTTTTCCCAGCTCTCACTCGAATTCGAAGAGAGTCTGGACCACTTCATGTGTATAGGCACCTTTTATCTTTCTTTTTTTTTTACCAATTAGGTACGTTTTATCTTAAAAGCATATTATGTGTTGGGACATTCCTAGTAATTATGGAGCATATAGGGTTGAGAATTGGATGGGAGAGGCCAGTATTGCTAAACATTGGAGTGGGAGCGGATAAGGATTTCCAGATCTCCGTGATTTTTTTTTTTTTTTAAATTTCCTTTCCCCTTTTCTCATGTCAAAAGCCAGAAAGAGCTAAGTATCCTCATGTCTGCCACACGAATCAGCTGGTCTAAGGCCACGTGACAGAACCCTGCCAAGCACGTGGGATTAGATGTTCCCGCTAATGGAAGGCCGCCACGTGGCCCGTGAATTGAATCTTCACTTGAAAAGACAACGCAACGCTGTCCGTGTGGTTTTCTGGTAATCGAGGGAAATTAAGGGAGGGCCCGTGTACGTATGATTTAGTCGCCGTCGACGAGAGAGGTGACAAAGATACGTATATAAAAGCTGGCCTGTCGATGGGCCTCCCCAATCCTCCACTTCCTTCACTCCTAACCCCAGCTCAAGCCACAGCCTCATGCACGAGCTCCTGTTTAAGCCATCAACTCAACTTGCGGTGTGATATTGTTTCGATGGTAACCGGTCAAGCTCGATAAATTTACGACGCCAATCACATAAAGTTGCCTGTAATAATCGAACTCGTAACATGGCTTCTCTAAGTCTTATCAATAATAGTTGAGTCAATATCAACTCTCAAGCATCATCAATTATTAATTTTCTTATCCCAAGTATATGGTTGAGCCTATTATATATGTGTGCGCGCATTATATTGTGACGAGATCATTTATTTTCAACGTACGAAATTCTTGATGTATAGAGCATCTAGCTCTGGATAAATGAACAGGGGAACATTATTGTTAATCATCACTTAATTGGTTCCGACAAACAGAGGCTGAGTGCCTGGTGGGGGATAAACGAAATGCACAATTGACAGAGACGGTGCTGATGGCATTGAATTTGTTCTCATTTACCTTTCCTGCTTTGATCACTTCTTACAAATAAAATTAAAGTCAAGCACCCTTTTGGCCTTTTCGTATCAAATGACGATAAAAGGAACGCAAAGGGCGAAGTGAGCATGGTTAAGATTTAGCGTGTGTTTAGATTAACAAAGTTGCTTTTGAGGTTAAGATTTAACTAAGATTAACAAATTAAAATTAAAATTATGTAAAAAGTCTGTGACTATAATATAATTTATATTTAGATATATTTTCCTTAAAAATCAGTTGAATGAACTAAAAATTATTTAAATGATTTAATTCAACAGTCAATTAAGGTGTATGATGGCAAAAATGGACATGAATTTTACTGTCTATAATTTTATGATTAATTTGGTATTTTTAGGGGGGGAAACCATAAATTTTTAATTACATTTTTCAAAAAAGGCAGACTTAAAAATATCTAAAATAAATTAATTGTTTAAAAATCATAATTTTTAAAAAGAGTACGAGTGAAATGATAAATTATAGTTTATATATAATTGAAATTTAAGAAATAGTCTAATTTGATCTTCTAAAAAATATTAAACTTTAAATTAAAATTTTCATAAAAATAGTATATATAAAATTAAGTATTATTTATAAATTATAAAAATTTTAAATGAATTAATAAGTTGTAAAAATATTAAATTAATAAATGTTAAGCATGTTTCTGATTTAAGGAGGATTTGGAGCTGACCGAAGGATAGCTATGCAAATGGCGTACGTGGCTCGAGCATGGCTCAAAGAAGAAATAAGGTTATTGTTATGGATAATCACACAAGAAGATTGGTCTTCATTTTTAGGAGCTGTGGCTGGATTGTTGTTGCTTTCTTACGTTGCGAGAAAAATGGAAGCAACTAAGAAGAAAGACCTGGCAAGAAAATAGACCGCGACCAGTGAAGAGGACAACAGAAGGAAGATTCGGTGAGCACTGGCTCACTCCCGGTCGTTAAGACTCAGGATAACAGGAAAGCGCCTTTGTACTGGTTCACTCACAGTGGTTCATTGGACTGTAGCCACCGCACCCACAGTCCCACACCATTCGATTAGTTCTCCTACTCCACAGATGGCAACGGCTTGCAACTTCCTCGACATAGAGGCTAGATGAGTGTTGAGTGGGCTAGGAAGAAGAGAGAAACTTTCTCAACACAGCTAGTGAAAGATTAGGTGGTGACAATGATGTCAAGTGTAATGTCCTTCCCGACATTACCAAATATATAGAACACAAGACACAAGACATTATTATGATAATCAGAATTAAATTAAATTTTTTATATAAGGTTATCATAATATAAGGGTTTAGATAAAAGTTAAGAATTGGAATTCCAAAAAAAATCATTTTTGAAAAGCCGTTTGAATTTAGACTATAGTTCAAAACAAATTATACAAAATAATGTAAGCCTAAAAATCCATAACAACCAGAAGAAAAGCTAATGGAATAGTCTAGAAAAATTCCATATTTTTGCTTCTTTCACCACCACACAAGTCTCACCTGCCACAACGGATGGCACAAAGGGACTACGTCCCTCTCTGTACATTATGCCACAGCGTGCCTACCATGTGTTGCAGCACGCGCCTACTACCATGATAACAAATAACAAATACCTGTCATGACAGCACTCTTGGACTAATTTTTAAAGGTCATCGTTTCATCATTCGACATCAGATTTGAGCAATTCAAGTATTTACATGTAGCTTTTAGAGTCACTAGCTATTGGCACTAGTCTCACACCCAGATACTAAACCAATTGAAAGTTAAACACCCAAATATAAAATGATCTATTTTCTTTTTAAAGCAACAATTAAGGTGTCCAAACTCACATACTAAGTTCTAATAACCATAAAACTACTTAAACAAATTCAAATAAATCACAAACAATCTTATTAAACAATTAAACTACAGTAATAACACTCTAGACACAAGTTGGCCATCTAAACCTTAAATTTAGCATAATACAAGAGAGTACAACAATTTAACATATACAGCTTATTGGCCATTCAAATACCGACCTCTCACAACCATCACATCACAATTACAACATTTCAGGTCAAGATACCCACCGTTTATAATAGAATTTATGCAAGTGACAATATAATGGCTTTATGATCTAAGTTGCTATAAAAATAATTAATTCATTGCAAAACTAAAAGAAAGAGAGGAAACTCTATAATTATAGATCCCTCAATGCTTAATAACACCTTCCTTCCACCTATTAGAGTCTTCTCCAATAAAATGTAATCATAGGATGAGTTGAGAACTAAATAGTTAAATAATCTAAACAAATTACTCATGTGTAGAACAGTTAGTGAGCATGTGAAGTGACATTGAAATATATCAATATATTATAGAAATCTATTCCCCAAGTGAATCCTTATGAACAGTAACTCAGGGTAATATTGGCATTTTAAAGACATGCAAAATATGGCTCCTTCACGTGTCTTGAAGAATATAAAGGAGGTTAGGGGCTTTTTTGGTTTTTCATAGTTTAATGCTAGTGGACAAAAAGTTATTTCATAATCCTTAGAAAGGAGCACCCCTTTATCTGATGGTTACTCATAATTACCCCCTGGACAAAGGAAGAATCATTATTAAAGCTGTTTCCTACTTTTTGACTAAATGACCATGCTTTTGCTTCCTTCCTTCAAAAAAAAATTACATTTATCGATTTCCAAGACTGGTGACAATTAAAGCTGTCAACACCGCTTATTCAATCGAAGCAAAATGTCCCTTTCTCTCAAAAACCCTACCGAGATGGAATGGACTCCATTGTCTGTGCCTTACATCGTCGTTCACTCATATTCTTTAGAAATAGCTCTCGGTAAATTTCCCACTTTCCTTCCATGCTAGCACGCTATTCTCTTCAAACCCACCGGTTATACTCCAAATTGTTTATCTTAGAAGCCAGTCTGTCTGCTTCTCCTGGATCTTTACCTTCATTCGCCCATATCATCTCCACCGTCAGGTTTTTCAACCATCTTTGTAGTTTTTTTATTCCATAGTATGGCTTCATCTAACCCCATGGATTCAGACGCACACCATTATGATATGCTCAATAGTCTTGATCTCACCAAGATCAGTTGGCATATACTTGTGAAGGTAGACCATATTTATCCTTGCGTTGGTGATGAAGTTTATGAGCTTGATCTCGGTTACCCTAAGCATGCACGGTCCATCAACCTTATGGTATTCGATGCATAGGTATTTTTACTTTAACCGTTTATATTTTTATTCTCATAGATCCATTATACATTTAACTTTTCTTTCTTTCCTTAAAATATCTTAAGGGTATTCGAATAGAAGTATTGATTAAGGGCCCTGAGATGTTGGCTTGGTTTAGGAACCGGTTTAAAGTTGATAAAACTTATAACATCACAAACCTATAAGTGAACAGGGGAGGTCAACCTGTTCATAGGAAGTATCACATTTCATTCATACCCTAATCAAAAACTTTAAATCATTACACAATCCATAAACTTAGATTTATAAACTTAATTTAACTCCCTAAGAACTTAATTGAGGTATTAAGTTCAATCACAACCCAAGAAAAACAAAAATCAAATGCCACCTTGCCCCAAACATTTAGAAATTCACATCAAGGGGAAAGGAGAGGTATAGGAAGCTTATTCAAAGATAAATCTTACTCCAAATACTTTCAAATTGCTCCTAATATCAAGCCTTAGCACGCACCAGTCCTTCCTCCATCGCTTCTCTTATTTTCTTTCTTTTCTTTCCTCTAAAATCAAATGCAATCTCATGTTTGATAAAACTAGATTTTTGTCTATCCACCACGACGCACAACGTGTCTGCTATAGTTGATGCCATAAATTAGCCTAGCATAATTTTTAGCCCCTTTCT